TTAAGTCCCCTACTGTATTACCCCTGCTATGTCAGTAGGGAAACCCCTTGCATGGGGACTTGCATAAATACTGGAGCTGTGAATAAAAACCTCAGTTGACTCCCAGAACTGTTTCGTCCGGTTACTGAGGGATTTGGGAGATTGCCTTACTTTTCAGCGCTTAACTGTGGATTACCTTCTGTACCAGCGGAGATCGTGGAAGTTAATATTGCAGCTCCGCTACACATATCATGGCAGTCTTAGAGGCATAATTCTGGGATATGATGGTATTTTTAGAGGCATAATTTTGGTATGTCATGGCAGTTTTAGAGGGATAACCGCTTACTCAGAGGCTCAGAAACGCTTTGTTCCGCTTTCATCAAGGCACCTCACATTGAGTATCTCAGTGGTGGAACTAATGTAGAGAGGGCCCTGGTGCAAGTATGTTTTCTGGGTCCCCTACTAGTGCAAGTGTGGCCAAAAGTTAAATCCCCATCTGTTGGAGAACTCCAACAATGCTATGCCAGCCGGGGATCTACCATGTGCCCATCCTTGCAGGGTTGTATTTGTGAGCAGTGCTTGAGCATTTTAATGTAGGCATGTTTTTGTATGAAGTATGGGTGTATTTATAGGTACTGTTGCCATTGGAATGTAGATTGAACCGGAGCAACTGAAAGACCGGGAGCATCGAGTGCTGGGACCTGGGATATATATATATATATATATATATATATATTCGTATACAATAAGCAGAGTTATAGTGATGGTGGTGTAAGTCAGTTGTGGTGTGCCGCAACTAACGTTCAGGTAGGCCTGTAAAAGAGGGCTCAACAAGATGAATGGCTTAATAAAGGGAGTGGTGGGTGGGCTGAACCAGGCAGTCTTAGCACAGAGGAAGGTAGGTCTGTGTATTTATAGGCCGGGTAATTCCACCCACAACTACAGGCTTCGCCAACCGGCTCAGCCTTCTCATTTGTGGATGTATACAATAAGCCAAGTTATAGTAATGGTGGTGTAAGTTGGTTGTGGTGTGCCGGAACCGATAGGCTTGTAAAAGAGTACAAAAAGTTTAAAAGTTCAACACTGAATATATGTTGGCACTGGGGATAGTTGCCTATCCTTTGGTATTAAGCGCCAATCCACCATTTTTTTTTGTTTTGTTTGTATTCTATTGTTATTTAAAATCACTTTGGTGTGGGCTGCTTTTCAATATGGCCATTTTTGAAAATCGTATTAAATGGCAAGACTTTGTTGATACTAAATTTCAGGAAGAACTTATTGAAGATCCAGAAAAATATATTATGAGCGATAATTTAGATGAGATGTGCTCTTTGCTAGAGAAATTATTGGCTAAAGAGCTAAAGATTAAGTGGGAGATTTATACCATGGAGAAATATCTCAAAGATAAAATCACCCCCCAAGGCTTGAGATTTACCAAATATCCTGCCTTTGATAGGGAAGATAAAAAAAGGTTTATTGATATATGGGAACATTCACTTGAGTCTTTCGCCATTACAATGATGAGAATTATTATAGATCAGAGGACAAAAAATTTGGACGTACTTGATAAAATCATTGGAGAAATCCATAAGAAACGTGAACCATTTATTGTCACCAGTGATTTTGAATCTATCACCGGACAAATAACTGGAAGATTAAATCGGCTTGAAAGCCAAGTTATTCTAAATAAGAAGAAAAAATATCATAGAGATTTAAATGATTATGCCACTAATTGTATAAGGAAGAAGCCGAGAGTTATACATCCAAATAAACCTAAAACAAATGTCCAGAAATCAAATAGATTTAGAATCAAAAATCATCATCAAATTATTAAATCACCTACAGAAAGACCCCTTAGGAGAGACTACCAAACCCATGATTGGGTGGAGGTAAAAAGAAAGAACAAATATAGGAGAGAGGAACAATATAAGAGATAAGCCTATTCAAACCTGGCAAAATCCTGTTAATCATGGAAGACCATCTCCCCCACAGAGAAGGGAAGTTCCCTTATATAATCGTTTTGAACCTATTAGGAACCTGGAAGAAAATGTAGAAATACCTTTAGAGAAGAAATGGAGGGGATCACCTATGAGAACCCCTATAGCAACCAAAAGGAGATATCGGGATATAGAAGACAGGGAAATAGAGGAGGGAAGAAACTGGAAAGACCAAAAAGGAAAAATGATGAGGAGATAAGAGTTTTTAATCTAAGAAAGTTTTAAATCCTGCACACAGTGGGATTCTTAACCAAAGTTTAAAATTTGCACCCAGCTGCACTTTAAATAAATTTGAGGCGTACACAGACATTAACAGGTTTTTGAGGAGACTTTGTCTGAATTTTTTTTTTAATAATAAACCAGTTAATGGAACAAGTACTAATATTATAAAAAATTCTGAATATATGCATACTGACCTTAAACAGGCATCTAAATTTTATCCTATTCATTTAAAGTCAAATTGTATGAAGGTATTTGAAAGGGCATGTATTAAAGACACAAAAGAAATTAAACAAAAGAAAAGAAACAATCTTACAATTAAAGAGAAAAATGCTATGGAGGATCTTAAAGATACTACAATAGTCATTAAGCCAGCGGACAAAGGCGGAGGGATAGCTATTATGGATAAAGAGTTATATATCAAAGAGATATATCGTCAACTTAGTGATACAACCACTTACAAAAAATTAGAAATCCTCAAAATGATATAAAGAAAAAATATGAGTTATATCTTAATCAAGGAGTAAATAAGGGCATGCTCACCCAAAAAGAATACGCCTTTTTAAATATTAGTTTACCGCGTATACCAGTTATTTACACACTGCCCAAATTACATAAAAACGCACAAGATCCCCCAGGAAGACCCATTGTCTCCGGGGTAGGATCATTGTTGTCCAATCTGTCCAAATATGTTGATATTCACCGTCAGCCTATTGTTAAAACCAATACCTCATATCTTAAAGACTCTATGAGCCTATTACAACTATTAAACCACTTTAAATGGGAAAAATATTTTATTTTAGTGACCTGTGACGTCACAAGCCTATATACCTGTATAGACCATTTGATATTTTATTTTTATTTTTTATATACCCTTAAGCCTGTTTAAACTTCAGGTATTTACCTGTAGCCTTAATTTGCAGCTGTAAACAAAAAATGATGTTCCTATTATAAGTGTTTCACTTTAAGAGGACTCTCCTCCTTATATTATAGATGTTTACTATTAACCAAATATTATTCTGTATCTGAGAGAATGTTCCCTCATATTATGTTTTTATATCAAACATTCTGTATACACTAATTATGCTCTTTGTTCCTTTCAATAGAAAGATAAGATCAACATCAATTTGGAATATTATTTAATATATATGTGTTGTTTTTATTTGCAAGGTTTATCTGTGTAAATAGGTTCTTTCCCACTTTAAAAATGACGAAATTGCTAGTGCCACTTGTGTTTAGGCAATCCAAAAGAAAACATAGAGAAATATTGTAAAGCGCTACGGAATCTGTTGGCGCTATATAAATGGCAATAATAATAATAATAACTCGGAAATGACACATGACGCGGAAGTTCAATGAACCCAGAAGTGAAGACTGACGCCGGCGAATGGCGCCAAATTGGACATTCAACACAACTATTTAAAGAGAAGACCAGCATCCACTATACACTTTGACAAAGACCCGGTCGAAACGCGTAAGTGTTGTGTACTGTTTATTATATTAAGCTTATTTTTTGTTTCCAGTGTTATTTTGTATCCAGTAAAGTTTATTCTTTCTTTACCACATTGGATATCCTGAAATTCATTGAGGGGCTGGAAAGGAGTTATCCTGCTTGGAAATCTGAGAGCTAAAATAAGCTTTTCATTCATCTACCTTCAAAGTCAGAGCCAGCTTTGTGTGGCTCTGCAAATTGTGTGTGACCCAATACCTTCATAATTGATCAATTTTCCTTGTAAGTATTATACTATGCATATTTTTATGTTTTTATTATAGGAAGATCAGGAGGTGTCAAACTCACTATACTAAGTATACAGCCAAGTATTATATATTTATTTGCACCACCCTTATATACATTTCTCTCATATTGTTTTAATGACCTGAAAATGTTAAAGGTTGTATTCGAATAACTTTAAGGTGTTGTGAGCTAGTTAAAGGTTGAGGTGGCAAAAAATAAGTGGCAGCAAGTAAATCCTGGAATGTAAGGGTTAATTTGGCAGCCATGGAGATAGTTCGGAAGAATATAAGATATTGTGATCGAGTCACCTCATCAGTTTCTATGTTGGGACTGCCTGCTATAGTTATGTGGACAAAGTAGAGTTTCTGTGATGCTGCCAGCCAGATCTCTACCTAACCAACCTTATTATTGTAAGGGAGGGTGACTGATCGGCAATAATTAAAATGCTGCTAATTTACTAAAAGAAGGTAGCTTCTGTGTCGCCTATGGGAAATGTGTCATGGACCCAGTTAGCTATAAATTTGGCTGCAATCCAGTGTGGGTGGCTGTATTGGTCCAGAAATGAGGGGAAATGGTGTAGTGATCATGGCTTCCCTGTTCTGGTGGGATAAAAAGTTTACTGACATGAACAGGTCTGCTCAAGCATGTGTTGAATGTAACAGCGCTATTGTTGACAGGTGAACCTGGGGGGAGGTTGAGTGGATGGGAAATTAATGAGCTCCCTTGTGTAAGTTGCATGTTAAAGTTCAGTGGACCAAGGAGAGACTGGAGATCCATATGGAAAACAGGCATCATTGCCCAGAAAGGATTTTCCTTTCCCAGATAGGCTAGACTTAGCCTGCGGAGAGGCTGAACTGCAATGAAATCAAGTCTAATGTATTTCCAGAAATTAAATTGGGGTAGGGGGCCAATGTTTGATCGAGAAAGCAGAGTTCCAAGGCATCTGCTTCAGGTTATTGCTAAAAGGGTCAAAGTAGGGTCAGAGCTAATATGCCACAGGAAGTAGGCAGTGGCGTCTCTAGGATTCATTTTTAGGGGGGGCACATGGAGGGCCAGGGACAAAAGTAGGGGGCATATTTAACCCCGCCCTCGCTGCAGTTTGACCCCGCCCCTGTCGCATGTTACGCCCCGCCCCAGACACAATGTGTTTTGTTTTTTTAATAATCCCTGGTGGAGGATTCATTATTTTCCACCAGGGATTATTAAAAAACAAACACATTTCCCTTGATACAGTGCCATAGTTGCCAACATTTGAAAAAAAAATTCCAAGGACATTTTGCAGCACAGCTATCAATTACTGTCTGGGTATAATATCCCTGGGCAGTCCGTGCTCTCTGTATAATACAGGGTTGTGTGTATAATAAATTGGGACACTCAGTGCTCCCTGTATAGTGCTGCTCTTTGTATAATACAGGTCTGTTTGTGTATAATATCCCAAGACAGAGCAGCACTATACAGGGAGCACTGACTGTCCCGGGATATTATACAGGCACAGGCCTGTATTATACAGAGAGCAGCACTATACAGGAAGCACTGACTATCCCGGGATATTATATACACACAGATCTGTATTATACAGATAGCTGAGCATATACCCCATGTCCCAATCTCTAGACTACTAGTACCGGTCAACAGCAGCTCCCAGACGTGTGTAACAGGGCTAAGGTGTGCGGCAGCTCACACAGATGATTCAGCGGTAAAGTGCACTCGCTGGCAGAGCCAAACTGGGAATCCCTGGGAATCCAAAGCAGCCTTGGGAAAAAAAATTATGCTATTCCTACAAGTCAAAATCTATATATATAACAGTAAGCACACAAACTCACTGACATGCGCAAATAGGCTTACTGACAGACAAAACTCTCTGACACACACAAGCTTACTACAGACAAACTAACTTGTATAAACAGAAGGCTCACTACAAAGAAGTTCAGGGACACACACAAGCTCACTGACACACACATGCTCACTAAATAGAAGCTCACTGACACACACAAGCAGTACCATTTTAACAGAGTTAAGGGCCCCCAGGCAAAGCAATGCACTGGGGCCCTTCCTACACAACAACTCACAGGAATTTTAATTATTGATAGACTGCCGAGTCCATACACACACACACTGCTGAGTCCATACACACACACACACACACACACAGACTGCTGAGTCCACACACACACACACACACAGACTGCTGAGTCCACACACACACACACAGACTGCTGAGTAAATACACACACACAGACTGCTGAGTCCATACACACACAGACTGCTGAGTCCATACACACACACAGACTGCTATGTCCATAAACACATATACACACACACAGACTGCTGAGTCCATACTCACTCACAGACTGCTGAGTAAATACACACACGCACACAGACTCTGCTGAGTCCATACACACACAGACTGCTATTTCCATACACTCACAGGCTGCTATGTCCATAAACACATATACACACTCACAGACTGCTGAGTCCATACACACTCATAGACTGCTGAGTCTATGCACACTCACCCTGCTGAGTCCATACACACAGTCTATGTCCATATACACACACACATACTGCTGAGTCCATACACACACACCAAGCCTACCTGTCACTGGAGGCTGTTGCTGGGGGTCAGACAGCCATCTTCTGCAGCAGCATAGTCTGCTGCTTTACGGTGGGGCGGGGCCTGTGCCGGGGAGCCTGTCAGTGCTCCCTCCAGCCCCAGCAGCGTTCTAGCTGCTCTGTCCTGCATTCCCTCGGGCTGTAACAGATTGTTACAGCCCGAGGTAATATAATTTAAACACATGGCCAGCAAGTTGCTGGCATTTGGGGGGGCACAGCATGATGTAGGGGGGGCCATGGCCCCCTCTGACCCCCCCTAGCGACACCACTGGAATTAGGTTGTATAATAGGTATAGGCCAGGGGCGGACTGAGCACTCGGGCATATCGGTCATGGACCGAGGGCCCGAGGCTCTGGGGGGCCCGTCCGTGGTGCAGAATGTAATAGCAGCTGGGGAGTTCGGCAAGCTGCCCAGCCCCAGCATGCACTCAGTAAGGGCCCCCCCCATGGTCAGCTATACTCACAGTCAGCAGACCTTTGTAGCACACTGAGAGACAGCCCAGGGGCCTTATCAAAGACCCTCCAGGCTGCCTCTCACTGTGCCTGGGCTGAGGCTCCAGGAGCAGAGCCCTCCATGCAGGCTGCCTGTAACTGATCAGAGCAGCCCCTGCAGAGGGCTTTATCAGTGTTTCTGGCAGCCTGCCCGCAATTCCATGTCCGGCCAGGGAGGGAGCTCTCCTAGACACTCACATGGCAAGATGGAGGTTGGACTCTCTGCACCACTGTGGGTAAGGATTACCCCCTTCCTGGACAAAGGTAAGGTTTAGGGAGGGGGGATACATTATTTTAACTTTTTTTTTAACCTATCCATCCATTCCCCTTTATTCACCAAGCCCCAACACACACTACAACCCCTATCATCCCCAACACACACTACAACCCCTATCACTCCCTATACATACTACAACCCCTATCATCCCCTACACATACTACAACCCCTATCATCCCCTACACACACTACAACCCCTATCACTCCCTACATACACCACAACCCCTATCACTCCCTACACACACCACAACCCCTATCATCCCCTACACACACACAACCCCTATTAACCCCAGCACACTCTACAACTCCTATCACTCCCTACACATACTACAACCCCTATCACTCCCTACACACACTACAACCCCTATCATCCCCTACACACACACAACCCCTATTAACCCCAGCACACTCTACAACTCCTATCACTCCCTACACATACTACAACCCCTATCACTCCCTACACACTACAACCCCTACACACACTACAACCCCTATCATCCCCTACACACACACAACCCCTATTAACCCCAGCACACTCTACAACTCCTATCACTCCCTACACACACACTACAACCCCTACACACACTACAACCCCTATCATCCCCTACACACACACAACCCCTATTAACCCCAGCACTCTCTACAACTCCTATCACCCCTACACATACTACAACCCCTACACACTCCAACCCCTATCACTCCCTAACATACTTCAACCCACACACACTACAACCCCTATCACTCCTTTACATACTTGAATCCTTACACACTACAACCCCTATAACTCCCTACACATACTACAACCCCTATTACCCCCTACATACAAGACAACCCCTATCACCCCATCACACACTACAACCCCTACAACCCCTTACACATTATACAACCCCTATTACCTACTGCAACCCCTATTACCCACTACAACCCTATTACCCCCCTACATATTCTACAACCCCTGTTACCCTCTTCAGCCTCTATTCCTCCCCTGCACCCTCAATAGCTTATATTACCCTGCCGCCTACTATTGCATCTATTACCCCTTCCCCACTACAGCACTTATAACAACTACATGCCCCTGTGTTCACCCACACGGATGTTCCACACATGCAAACATGAGTTCACACACAAACTACATCCAAATATGGCCTTGCATGCAGACCCTCAATATAAATACATCACTGCATACACACCCTGATGTCATGGACATAGTAGAATGAATTACAAAACAAACAAAAAAATAAATGTGTATTCCTGACCATATAGTTTAAAAAACACCATTTAGGTTACCGGCTTTCCCTTGCCCCTTCTTAAAAGGTAATAAACTTACCTTTATTTCAGGGCCACACGGGTCTGCCGGCGCTGGCTCAGCCCATGCTCTGGCCCCTTGACTGAGATAATCAGAATTGATAATCTCAGCCATTTCAATGCTCTCCCATAGGAAGCATTGGGAAGCTTATTGGCACACATGGCAAAACACTGTGTTGCGCCAATGAGCATCTCCTCATAGAGATGTATTGAATCAATGCATCTCCATGCAGAGCAATGAGGCACTGAACATCAGTGCTGCACATTGTCGATCACTGACCCAGGAAGCACCTTCAGTGGCCATCTGAGTGACTGCCACTGGAGGCGTCCCTATGCAGCAATGTAAACGCAGCCTTTTTCTGAAAAGGCAGGATTTACATTAAAATGCCTGTAAGGACTGGCTATACATACCAGAACAACTACATTAATCTGAAGTTGTTCTGGTGACTATAGTGTCCCTTTAAGGTGGCTCGTAACTTTTAGCACATGGTTAGTACTTCAAGACCCAAAATTTGGATGCCTGCATTGCTCATATAAACACATTGCCTTGATTCACATACACACTTAAAGGACCACTATAGACACCCAGACCACTTCAGCTCAATGAAGTAATCTGGGTGCCAGGTCCATCTAGGATTAACCCTGCAGCTGTAGACATAGCAGTTTCAGAGAAACTGCTATATTTACATTAGAGTTAATCCAGCCTCTAGTGGCTGTCTCATTGAGAGGCGCTTCCGTGCTTCTCACTGTGAAAATCACAGTGAGAAGTCGCTGATGTCCATAGAAAAGCATTGAGAAATGCTTTCCTATGGACTGATTGAATGCGCACGCGGCTCTTGCTGCGCATGCGCATTCAGCGCTGACGTCGGAGAGGGAGGAGATTTCCCCAGAGCCGAGGGAGCCTGGCGCTGGAGAAAGGTCAGTGATTAAGCCCTTAACCCTCCTTGAGCCCGACGGGAGGGGACCCTGAGGCTGGGGGGCACCCAAAGACCTATAGTGCCAGGAAAACAAGTTTGTTTTCCTGGCACTATAGTGGTCCTTTAACTACTACCCTATTTAAAAAAAAATTTAAAAAAAAAAATTATATTACTCTGAATCCACACATTGTGACACTAGACACAAACTTACATATATTCACTTAAACCAAGGGTCACAGGGAATATGCACACAAAAACATACATTCGCTTTACATGCACATATATAATCAAATACACCGTACATACACCATCTTATATACCAGCATATATATTGGTCTGGGGGGGGACCAGGTCCTAATTTTGCCCGGGGGCCCAGGCCACTGTCAGTCCATCCCTGGTATAGGCAGCACACCTAAGGGAAAAGGGGTCCCCTCTAGACCCCTCAGAATAGGTATAAAACAGAACAAAATAAAAGGAAAAGGTGTGCCTTAAAAGAATAATAAAAAAAATAATTCAGTTCCATAATCGTTACACTCGTGTAGATAATGTTTTATTGAGGGACAGTACTGACGTACAAGAGGAGCCTACAGAGAGATTATGCAACTATATTGAATAATTTGGGAATGCTCAGTTCACTATATATCTGGGACCAATGCACCCGGAGCAATTTAAAGATAAGGAATATGGCATTTACCTAGTCAG